GACAAAGGTAAGGGTTGCCAAAGTTTTTAGGCCCCTGAGTACACTTGGATTTTTGATTGCTTAGGGCGCTACCCCTCTGGTCCGTTGTCTCACGTTTCTCTTGGATCAGTGCCCCCTACCCCCCAAGAGAGAGAGAGAGAGAGAGGTTTTGCTTTCTCAATTAACCTGAGTCTTGAAAAGCACATAAAGCTGAAAAAGAAGGGGGAAACGTCCCAACTTCCTCCTTAACCTCTACATACCAGTACTTTCCAAAGAGAAAAAGGTAAACGCTCTCATCACCTCATGACCACGTTGGCAGCGGGGGGGGGGGCACTCAAAAGTTTAATGAGCGGCAGAGGTGACCATTGCCTAATGCCTTAAGTAGCTCTGTCAGGAACTATTTTCCCTATAGCTGTATAGGGGAGAAGAAGATAACTGTGGTAATTTGTGATTTCCTAGGCTCCTGCGTCTTTATCTGGGTCTGGCTCAATATGTCACCAATTGGGGGGGGAGTGTCAATTTAATCTAAGATGCTGTGACAAAAACTCTAGCAAAGAGTTAAAAATGCATAGATGCTGCCAATTCTACCTTGCAGTAAGTAACAAAGTGTCCTGCAACCTGTCCTACCTTGAAATGGCTGGAAGGTACAACCCATTTGCCACAGATACAAACTTTTCAGCCCTGTTTTAGGGCTTTTCAGCCAGTGTCAGCAATACTGAGCTAGATACAACAAAGGTCTGACTTTTCGCTTTCTATGTTCTGGCCTGTGGTAAATTTTTAAAGAGAAGGGCAAAGAAGGAAAAGCAAAAAGATTAAGTATACTGTATTTGCCAAGCTAGGAAACTCCCAGATGTTTCAAGTACAGTGCTACCTCGGGTTACATACGCTTCATGTTACATACGCTTCAGGTTACAGACTCCGCTAACCCAGAAATAGTGCTTCAGGTTAAGAAATTTGCTTCAGGATGAGAACAGAAATCGTGCTCCAGCGGCGCAGCAGCAGCGGGAGGCCCCATTAGCTAAAGTGGTGCTTCAGGTTAAGAACAGTTTCAGGTTAAGTACGGACCTCTGGAACGAATTAAGTTCTTAACCCAAGTGATACAATCATAGAGTTGGAAGGGACCACGAGGGTAGTCCAACCCCCTGCAAGGCAGGAATCTTTTGCCCAACGTGGGGCTCGAACTCATGACCCTGAAATTAAAAAGTCTCATACTCTACTGAGTGAGCTATCCAGTAAAGCACACACAAGGTACCACTGTATGTGATGTAGGCCTCACAGCATAATGTCATATATTTGGCTTATTGATTAAACTTTTAGTATATTATAAAAGATAATAAATATTCGATTTATGTTATTGTCTAAGAGCAAAAGACCAAAGCCAGGTATACTTAGACAGAGTTGGTTACTTAAACAGGCCTCCCCTAAGATACTCACCAGCATACTATCTGTCATCTCAGCAGGATGCACGCTGTCCATTGTTAGTAATCTGGAGTACAGAAGCTCTTTTGCCAAGTTGCATCACACACCAGTCGTCAAATCATCCATCACCTCTCTGAGCACCACATTTACTAGCTGGATGCTTGAATTCCCAGGAAGAACCTGTTTACTGCACTGCCACCCTAGCAAAAGGGAGTGTGAGCCTAAAGTGTTACGCAACTATGAAGGCATTGCAACAGAAGAGACAGCCTCTCAAGAGTAGGAACATCCTAAACCACTAATAAGTGGTTTTCAGTGCCACCTCTTTATTCATTTATTCAGCAGCCCATACAAATAGAGCATCCTGTTTTTTCCCCCTCACTAGAATTGCCACCTATTTATTCCTGTTTATTCATTGCCGCCTATTTATTCATAAACAGCCCGTGCAAACACTTGTTGTTTTTCACATGGGTCTTGAGCCACAAGTCATCTGAACTGGCACATACCGGTAATTGTATTGAATCCACTTTAGTCTTCAAGTCTTTTGTGGGGCTAATGCAGCTAGCAATCCTACGAATGCTTATTTAGGAGAAAGCTAATTGAGGCTTAATTCTGAGTAACTATCCTTAGGCTTGCCCTGCACATGGTTTTCCGTGGAGCAATCCTATACTTATAACATCAGAAGTTAAGTTTGATGCAGTTAAGTGGGAATAAAATTGAAGTCCAACTTTCATTCTTGGTCCATCTTACATACTGAGACTCAATCAGTTTGTGATTTCATGGAGCATTCCAGGGGCATGTTGACTCAGGAGTAAGTGTCACTGTATTCAGTAGAGCTTACTCCCAAGTAAGTATGCATAGGAAGAGGAGAGGAATCTCTTTCATGTCAAGGTTGGGAGTCATGAAGGAGGCAGAATGAGGTTGAGGAGAAGCTGGAGACACAGAAGGGAAATCAGGGTTGACTCCATCCTATCTACTTAGGTTGGCCGAGTTTTGCTCTCAGGGCACCTGTGCCTATTACACCTATATGGCTGTAAAAACAACCTCCAATTCTGTCACTGAAACACTTTCTGTCCCACATAAACTTCTTAGGATCTCTAAGATGTGAAAAGTTCTCTTTTAATTGAAATATGCTTGCTGAGTCTGGAAAGGTGTTTTCTTTTTCCTTCAGGAGTAATCAATGTGAGCTTTTATTCATGTATTTTATTTAAAACAATTTATAAACCACTTAAATTTTTTTTAATCTCTAGAGTATACAATATAAAAAACCAACAATGTAATTAAAACAGAAATACAACACAAAACCAGTAAAACGGTAGTATAAAAGCATGTTAAAACCAACCAAAACAGGATTTAAGGGGATTCAAACGAATAAAAACAGGGTACAGATCAAGGAAAGCTTGGGTGGAAATTTAAAAAGTCTTTAGAATAAAGACACCTAAAAATAAACAAATACCCTTGTGGTGACAAGTTCCAAAGATATACCAGCACCAGGCCATACCAGCTAAGTGTTATAATTGTACTCTGCTAGTGTAACTCTGTGGGTACAAGAGCCCAAAATGTGTGGCAGTAGGCACTGGGCAGCAGAGGAGCAGGAAACATAGATTTGTAGAAAAGGGACCACAAGGGTCATCTAGGTCAACCCTCTGCAATGCAGGAATCTCACCCAATATGGGGCTCAAACCCACAACCCTGAGATTAAAATTCTCATGCTATACAGTCTGAGCTATCTCTCAACCTGAGCTTGTTTAGCTCTTGGTCCAACTGTAATACTGTGGGAGGGGGTATTGTTTTTGTTTGTTATTATGGCATGCGTTTTTGTGTTTTCATATTATAAACCGCTCTGTGATCTTTGGATGAAGGGCGGCATAGAATAATAATTGTTAATTTGTGGGTGAACATATCAGACAACACAGCGATTCTTCAGACAGCTCTTGTTTATTCACAGGCCAGAACAGAACTGAACTGAAGGGTTCTGCCAACCTTCTTATATAGAGCTCAACTGCAGAGCAACAGTAACAACTTTCTGTAACTATCCAATCATTGATTGTCACTTTCAATTCCTTATTTGCATACAGTATGTAGACCTGAGTGAAAACTATCTACAGTATCCCCCTGCTGGCCCAGGGTGAGAACTTTAGTACATAATAATAATAATACAGTAATAATAATAATAATAATAATAATAATAATAATGCTGCAATGTGGGGGCTCAGAATGTGAGCCATGATGAGTCACAAAGACCTGGGTTTGAATCTTGCCTCACCCCATCCCCCACTCAAGAGAAAACCTTGTGGGAGGGGGAGATGTGCTTTCCTTCGTTCCCCTCCTTCCTCTCTGCCCCACATATTTACAGTATAGTCTGAGATCCTTTCAGCTCCCAGTCCTATGCTGAGGAGTTAAATTTGAGGCTTTATGCCAGGAGCACATAACATTGCCTTGCACCCTATCAGGTTGTTGTGATACCTAGCTCAATATTGTCTCCATCTGGCTTTGCCAACATGGTGCCCACCATGTCCTTCCCTTCACCCTCCCCCCCCCCCAGGTTCAGAAGTCAAACTCTTTTAAGTTTGAGCGAGCTGCCCCAGTTTTCTTTCTTTACTAGTGTTGCCAACCCCCCAGGGCTGGCCTGAAGCCTCCAGGTTTGCCTCCCCTCCCCTCTAGTGCAGCTGCCCGGTGCTTTTTTTCTAAAAAAATGTTTAGGGGTACTCTAATTTTCCTACTCATATGGAAATACTGCCCCTCAATGAGGCCAATCTTAGATTATTTTTAAATTGTATTTTTAAATTTTGCTAGAAGCTGCCCAGTGTGGCTGGGGAAACCCAGACAGATGGGTGGGGTATAAGTAATAAATTATTTAAAAAATAATCAAAATTACTTTAATAGTGGCTGAATTTTTCAGTGCTGTCCATGAAGAAAGAATGGGCCATGGTAAAGAGACTTAGTGGTTTTTAATGGTAGGTGATGTTGCTGTGTTGTATTATATTATCTATGTACATTGATTTATTTCTTGGAGTTAAGATTAGGACTGGGATAAATTGTGTTCGCTGAGCCCGTATTTTATACAGTCTGTATATGATGTTTGTTTGTTAATGTGTGGTGTGCTATGCCTAATAAAGGATTTTGAATTTAATAAATTATTATTATTATTATTATTATTATTATTATTATTATTATTATTATTATTATTAGATTCACAAAATGTTTAGGGGTATGTGTACTCTTGTGTCCCCCCAGAAAAAAAAGCACTGGCTAAGCCCAAGGTCACCCACATGCATGTGTGAACCACACCAACCCCTAAGGATTATTTTGGGGGGGGTGTGATAACTCTACATGGATGTTTTTCGAGATCAGCAGGACTTGGGGTTGCTTATTATGGCTGTTTATAGGGGTTGGTGTGGTTCACACATGCATGAGTTTTCAGGGGGAAGGGGTGTATATGTGTGTGTGGCCATCTGTCACGGGTGCTTTAGCTGAGATTCCTGCACTGCAGGGGGAGTTGGACTACTAGATGACCCTCGGGAGTTTCTTCGACTCCAAGAGAGCGGGAGCCCGGCCCTGCCGAGCAGCAGGATCCCTCAGAGGAGGACCCCGCCGAGACCCTCCGCGAGACACCGAGGGAAGCGGCCTCTTTAAAGCGCCCTCGCCGGCGAAGGAGGCGGGGACGTCGCCACAGGAAGTGCCCCCTCCCGGAGCCGAGGAAGGGGAATAGGCCCCAAGATGGCGGTGGTGGCGGCGGCCGAGCGGCTCCTGTCGGAGGGGGAAGGAGGCGCCATGGACTCGGCGCGGCTCTCGCCGCCGCCTGTGCCCCAGCCCCGCGGGCGGCGGCGGCGGGGAAGCGCAGCCCCTCGAGCAGCTCCCGCAGAGCAACACGCTGGTGGGGCTGCCCATCGTGGCCATCGAGGGCATCCTGGGCTTCCTGTCCTACGACGAGACCAGCCAGCTCCGCCTGGTGAGGGGCCGCGTCGTGGGGGCAGAGGGAGGCGCGGGACCGGGGGTGGGGAGGAAGGAAGAAGCGACGCCTCGGACCCCTGCCTTGGCTGAGGGGGGGGGATTTGGGGGCGCGACACTTCGCATCCGTTCGCTTTGCCGTTTCCCCCCCCACCCCACCCCTCCCCTCCGGATTGGCAAGCGTTTCCACTTGGTTTTTTGATTCGGTTCGGGGATCCCAACTCCACGCCTCCTTCCCCGGCTTATCCCTTTCCCTGCTTGATTTGGGAGAGACCGGCGTGGTCGCACTGGATGACCTCTGGATTCCCTTTCCATTGGAAATCCCCTCTCCCCACTCCTCCTGCCCACCTTGAAGAAATCGCCCGCTCTTTTTGGGGGGGTGGGGGAGGGAGGGAAAGGGATCCAGGCAGAGGTTTAACGGGGGAGGGCCAAGGATGATGACCGCAGGTTGCAGCCCCTTTGCGGCAGAGCTCTATCCGCCTGCTGCGCCTTTTTCGGGAAAGATTGGGAATCGGTGGTACGACGCTGGGGGGGGGGAAGGTCTCTGTAAATCGGATCCTCATTGTATCTCATTAGAACCTGTTTATATTCAATATTCACCCCCCTTACCCACCCCGCTTCCTTGTATTTTGACTTTTTCCCCCTTGACAGCGTTTCCATTGCAGACCATCTCTTTATATAGCATGGGCGATGGGACTCTTCCGATGAGGCTGATCGTGTAGAGTTAATTTCCTCTACCATGCAAAGAGACTGCGGTACATAATCTGTGCTTTAGGCCTGTATATCATTTCTATAGTGCTTTCTAGTGAATGGAATGCTTTTCTTTCTTTCTTTTGGTAATTATTTAATGTATCTCGTAATTCCACAGAGTTGGGGGCAAGTGCATACTGCTAGGAGCAATTCTCAGAAGATCTCAAGTTCATCTAAACGCAGAAAATCCATGTGGCAATAGTCACATGGGAGGGAGGGAATTTGTGAAATAAGAAGAGTATCTACTGCATCTGTTTTAGTTCTGTTCTGATAAAGGCACAGTTTGGATGCATTCAGTAGCTTTAGAATTTCAGTATCATAAAGCAGATGTTTAATAATCTAATGTTTATATTCTCCCTAAGCTAGTTCCTAGCTGTGGAATGAAAGCTTTACTATTGTCAGACTTTCTCCATATAAAAAATCTTAAAACATTATTGAAAAAAATACCTCTAAATTGATGCTTTTTGAGATCAGGTCCATGTTTTGATACAGTCTACACCAGTGTCCAATGTTAATTTTTAATTTTAATGGATCCCCACATATGTGCCTGTGAATGCCGTCCTCTGTAGGTTTCTCTGCAAGAGTATGGCTTTTTCTCCACAGCAGTACAATCCTTTGTGTATTTACTTGGAAGTAAATCGGATATTCATCAGTGCAGCTTTCCCCCAGGTAATGTGCAATTGCATAGGATTGCAGTCTAAGGCACTCAACCTTGGGAGTGCCTACTACTTCAGGGTAGATATGCATTGGATTACAACACAGCTTTTTGTGATGAACAGTGTCATTGACTGCTTAAAGGAGAGCTTATTTTGATGCCTGAGATATTTGACACTTTTTGAAAATAAATATGACTATGAACAGAATTTTGTTTGCTTTATTTCTCTTGTTGGTATGTGCAACCTATGGTCAAGGCAGTAAGCAAATTGACTAACTTGTAAAGCTTTGACAGGTTTTTCCACCTTTCAGTTTTCATTTTCTGTTACCTCTTCATCAAACAGCATTACAGCCCTTTGGGGGAAAAATTAGATAGATGTGTGTAATACCATGACAAACATCTTTGGTTAGAACAGGCATAGGCAAACTCAGCCCTCCAGCTGTTTTGGGACTACAACTCCCATGATCCCTAGCTAACAGGACCAGTGGTCAGGGATGATGGGAATTGTAGTCCCAAAACATCTGGATGGCCAAGTTTGCCTATGCCTGGGTTAGAACATTGAATTAGAAGGGGAAATGTGCATTATTGCTTTTGCCTCATATTCCTCTGATCTTGGAGGGTGGTTGCCATCTAACATACAGCCCAGTTTTATACATAAGTGCTCAAAAGCTAGTCTCATTCTGTTCATCAGACTGTACTCACAGGTAAGTGAGTTTAGAATGGCATTCTTAATTTATCTTAAATATTATTAGAATTGGTGTAGCTGAGATTCCTTGCTAAACAGAAGCTGCTACCAGTGCTTTTTTTCTGGGGGTACACATACCCCTAAACGTTTTGTGAATCTAAGTTTGGCCTCATTGAGGGGCAGTATTTCAATATGAATAGGGAAATTAGAGTATCCCCCAAACATATTTTTTTTAGAAAAAAGCACTGGCTACTACAAAGGACAGTTGCGTTGGCCACTTCATCACTGTGCTATGAAAAACTAGCTTGGGTTAAATATTAAAGCTTTATAAGAAAGTAACAGTGGATTTCTAGTTGCTATTGTGAAGCAAACACCAAACCCTCTCTTTTCTCAGCTGATGTGTTTACGTAGGCATCAAACTGATGTAGCTAAGCAGCCAAACATTCTATCCGCTTCACAGTGCATAGCGATTGATGGGAAAGATCCAAGTAAGATTCCTTCTTGCTTCAGTGGCTTGAAGAGTGGAATTAATCATATACAGTTGATCATATTCATGGTCTATAATGCAAATCTGATAAACCCGTACTAGCTGTCTAAAAGGTTCAGTATCCTACAGTTGCCCAACTTGTTTCCTTTTCCAGTACAGTGGTACCTTGGTTCTCAAACTTTATTCTTTCTGGGAATCCTTTCGACTCCTGAAACCGTTCAAAAAGCAAGGCGCGGCTTCCAATTGGCTGCAGGAGCTTCCTGCACTCAAGCAGAAGCTGTGTCGGATGTTTGGCTTCCAAAAAACATTCACAAACCAGAACACTTCCGGGTTTGCGGCATTTGGGAGCTGATTTCTTTGACAACTAAGCCATTTGTGAACCAAGGTACCACTGTACTTGTCCCATTTGTTTGTTGGAGCAGAGATGGCCCTGTGCCGTGTTCCCATAGTGCAGCTTGGGAGCGCCTTGTGCAGTTTACTCCTCTCTGTCTAGTAGAAGCGGCAAAAACAGTTGTGCTTAGTGACGTGCTTATATTTATATGAGTGTTTTTGAAGCACAGTGTCCCTCCAGTGAAAGGGGGAATTGATTATTTGAAGGATATGTATGAGAGTAACTAAGCTGCCCTGCTCAGAAGTGAGACAGATGGAAGGACAGTCTTAGGTTTTGTTCTAGGTGCCTTGGGCTCATGCAGCACAAAGCCCTACTGCCCTATATGCAACTTGATTTTGCTGTTGGCCGTGACGCTGCCCACTCAGCAGTATTTTGCCCAAAGAGTTCAGACCAGGCTCTTCGTTACAAAGATTGAACGGAGATAATCATTCTGGGCTCCCATCTTCTATCGCAGTTAAGATAATCCTCCTATCATGTAACAATTCTCCATCTGGTGATTCTGAAACATATGCAGATGTGAGGAATTACTGACAGAGCAAGTTAAGCAGAAAAAATTAAGCAACTAAACAAGCAAATATCCAGTTGTTGGGAAAGTGTTCTACGACCATTTTCAGGCAGCTTCTCAACAGTAGTTCTTATGTGTTTTCCCTGTTCTGATTTTAACCTTAATATTAACAATATCTGCAACAATAGGCTTATGAAACAGGTGATGAGTACAAAGAAACAGAACGGAAAATTACTGAACTTCTGATCCCAGCCACCCCTTTCTCATATATAAAAATGCACCTTGAAAATATTGGAGTATTTGTATGTGTTTAAGATGCCTTGTTTAATTGCACTGTTGTGTTCTTTCACTTTATAGTTGTGTGCTGACATCCATAGTGCACAAGGTGCTTTCAATTTGTGGAATTTGAGCAACAACCTCCATGGCACATCCCTTTTGAAGGTGTTCAATGTACCGGTACGCACACTGGGTACTAGGTTGTTATTCATTTGTGAACCCCAGGACTGCTCTGGAAGAGCAAAGGAGAGAAACTGGGGGATGGGTGGGTGATTCCAGACACCATATTCTGTTCAGTACCAGTACCTTCAACCAAGATAATGGAAGCAGAGGCGATCATGAATTTGACACTGTTTGGCACCGTGTTTACATCCTGTGCTGATCAATATGTAGCTGACTCTTGACTCTCTCCGCTCACCCCAGCCATGCCGAGGTATTTTTAAGCTGGTGCTTGGAGGCTGTCGAAGAATGGATGAGAAAGAACAAGCTGTAGCTTGATCCAGACAAGATGAAAGTCAGATCTCATATTAGTTCTCCATGCACTTGTCTCATTAAGACTGGGCTACTGTAATGCGCCTTTGAAGAAAGTCTAGAAACTTTGAACTAGTACAGAATGTGATTGCCTGGTTCTTGGCAGGGGCCAAAAATCTGGAGGTGTTATCCAAATATTGTGTCAGTTGCAATGATTATCAGTGAGTTTCCAGGCCAAATTCAAAGTGCTTTGAAGCACTGAATGACTTGGTATTTGCGTTTGATTGGGAATATAAATGAGGGTAGTTAACTGGGTTTTGCATAAGCTATTGTTATTTTATACTGATGTTTATTGTTGCTATTTCTTAAAAACATTTTTGTGTTATGGATTTGTACTTTGAAATATTGTACGCTGCTCTGTGGAGTCCTTTTTCAAAGAGCAGAGTATAAATCCATTAAATAAATAACTATAAATACAAGCCTGCTAGAGTAACAGGGATTAATACATTATTTCAGTGTACATGCTCAAAACACTTCTGTTTGATAGCATCCAGATGGCATCAACTTGATTATGCTTCTTGTTACTGATTTTCAGATATTTATAATTACTATACTTCCCAGCACAGTGAAGTATCCTGATCTGAAGAAATGCATGGGGGCAGGGGCTGCATCTCTGAAGCCCTTCAGAAAGATTTACCGTAAATACCACTGCAGGAGGCACTGAAACCAGCTCCTGCAGGGATCTTCTTACATTTTTAAAGAAACGTCAAGGCTGTGAGTT